TTTTTTTTTCAGTTGTGAAAAGGATAGCACAGATGTATAAACATCCATGGAAGTTCAACTACACAAAAATCCACGACAGATATACTTTGAATCTTGGTTTCCCAAACGCGATGGGTTTACCTTTTGTTTTCACACTTGAGGTACCGACGATCGTAAAGATTGCAGCCGAAACAAGTCTCCGCTCACAACCAGATCTGTCGCAGGGATCGGACAAAATGGTTGTGATCCCTGAAACTCTGAACGTCACAACAAACTTGCAGTTTACGTGAGTACAAGCATCTATATTATGTAAAGGCAAATAAGATTTGTTCTTATACTTCCACTCCAAGATGGTAGTACATTAAATATATGATTAGCTTCACGTCCTTCGAATTACACCAAAAAACGCGTCCTGGACGAGTTGGGAATCAAATATTTTTGTTCTAACACTGAACATAATTTAAATATATTAGTTACATTTATTAACACATTCTTTTGTCACACTTAGTAAACGTACTAAATTAATTTTTGTAACTTTGTTTTAAAGTGCCCAAATTTATTTATTTTATTTTTTTTATAAAAAGAATTATCTAAGCTGTTTATGAAAAACTTACACGATATGGTAGAAAATACCGAATCAAACAATTTGGAGATCATACAGGAGAAATTTCAAATGTATGGGGGCCAAGTCGACGCTGAAGGGAAATTTAAACCGGTTGATATTTTAAACCTTTTATATATTTATTATCTTTGGATAGATTTCGGATAATTTTACAACGAAACCGGTCCGATAATATTCATTTAATTCCGAACGATTCTTATAAACGAAATATTTGGATTTGAAATCAGAACTTTTTACATTATATAATTTAATTTTTTTTTTAAAAATAAGAATAGTTATGAAAAAGTATTTATTTCTGTATCTGAATGCTAAACATGCACCTTACTGCGTATTTATTTTAATAACAAGTAGCATCAGTATCCTATCCACGGTCACCTCAGAAGGTAAAGTTTCACTGACTCCCACGCCACCATTTTGATTCAGGAGACTACAAATTAATATTTCTCATAGCCCATCACTCAGAACATTCACGGTCATTCATACGTTTCCCGTTTTACGCGTCTTTGATACACGCGGATATTTTCGGGAACGCAAACCCCGCATATATAATGAGAGTCGCCTATATCCGGTTATGTGAATACATTTATATATTTTTAGGTATCACTTCAAACACGAGAGCAAGATTGGTTTCCTCACTCCATTTGACAATACTCAGTACATCGCTGGTTTGGACAACGCCGTCTTATACAATATCCCGCTGGAAGTTAAGATTGACGTGGATCTACGAAAGAACAATTTCAGCCTAACTCTCAAGCCGACAAGTGACGAGAGCGTAACAGTAATGCAATCAAGGATGCAGCCCTATACGAGTATACACGACACCCTTAATATTATCCCCGTAATGGAAGACAGTCGAACTAAACCAATTCTCTTGGGACCAACCAGGCAGGTGAGGAAAGTTGATGTTCATCTGGGTTCTTCGGTGCCACGTAAACTGTCGGTAGATAACAACGTTCATAATGACGGCATTTACCGGAGACTTAAAACCGTAACCCACAGCGTTGAAAGTCTGATATCTATTTTCGTAAACAAAAAAAAACTTTTATATTATTTTTAATTTTATTATTCGTTTCAAGAACAAAATATTAGGAGAGTCATAATCCGAAAATATTTATTAATTTTATTTATCACATCCTTAATTTTAAAGACAGCGTCTGAGACGTTCCGGTGCCTTTAAACGTATTACGATGAACTTATTATTATTTTGTAGCTTAAATGCGTCATGTTTGTGTTGATTAAATATGTATTTGTTTTCACAGTCTATACACAAACGTTGTAATTAAATGATGTTGTTAAAATTATATAATATTAAAACATTATGTAGTATAAAATATTATATTTTGGCGCTTTTTATCGTAAATACGATTTTTATACTACATAATGTTTTAATATTATATAATTTTAACAACATCATTTAATTACAACGTTTTTGTATAGACTGTGAAAATAAATATATATTTATTATTTTTTTTTTTAACTTTTCAGTTCGAGAAGCTCATTGGACAGAAGACTGGACTTATTTTCCGTTTGCAATCAGAAACAGATCAAGAATTTCCAGACATGAGCACGCCACTTAACATGTTTAACGCAATTCCGGACGCCAAAGCTAGATTTTACTTCGGTTGGGCGAGGCGAGCAATCTTTTATAATAATGTTGCCCTCGTATACGATACAGAACTCAGCACTGCTGACGTTGTTAAAATATCTGCAGTTTACGGTAAGAATTTCATTTAAATTTCAACATTTTGTTTAACCAAATAGATCAAAATAATTATTATATTTGTTTACCGTCAAATCACAATAAAATAGTAAGATAATATAATTAAAATTATTAAAATATAATCTTATGTTCCATATCGAGCATTCGATTTACATCGGAACATTCACAACATGTTTCGGTTTATCAAACCGTCATCAGGTGTAAATTATAAACTTTTAAACTCAAATTACAATTATTTATAGTTTTTACAATTTTATA